ATTTGTAGCATCGCTTCTGTAACCTAGCGTTGTAAAGAATTCTCTTTTTGTGGAAGAGTACCCATGTTATGGATCAGGACTTCACATGGCATCCTAATTTATTCAAGAAAGGAACAAAAGCTGCTCAGTTACAAAATTGTAATTCAGACTTTGAGCTTTCAAAGAATCTAATAATGAATAGATTCCTGCAGGCTGTGGCATTGGGATTTTGGTCAATACCACTGCCTTTCCACATTTGCAAATTTACTCAAGTCACTTCAAATAACAGATATTGCAACGCAAGCCAGTTCTACACTTTATACTGGAGGATCATCTGCTTGTGAAGCCATTAATAATACAGTCTGTAATAATTAACATAACCATGTAAAGTCATCTAGCAGTAATAATGCAATGAGAGAGCAATTTATTACACTGATGTATTACATGATAATGGTAATGAGAAATGAGCAGAGCTTATTTTGTAAGACTGAGCAATATGACATTTATAAATGCACCGAGTTTTGCTAAACTAAGGGAGCATTAAAAATGCTATGAAACATTTCAAGTGCTTTCAGAACTGTTCAGCCTCAAAATAGTTGAGTCATAGTGGGTCCAAAATCCAAACAGGAGTACTGTGAACACAGATGTCTGTACATTTATAAACACATTACTGGAACTTCGAAAATTCAGAGAACATAAGAATGGCCATACTGGGTCAGACCAATGATCCATCTAGTCCAGTATCCTGTCTTCCAACAGTGACCAATTCCAAATATTTCAAAGGCAATGAACAGAACAGGGCAATCATCAAGTGATCCATCCTGTGTCATCCCGTGCCAGCATCTGGCAGTCAGAGGCCTAGGGACACAGAGTATGGGGTTGCCTCCCTGACCATTGTGGCAATAGTTATTGATGGACCTATCTTCCATGAACTTGCCTATTTTTTTTAAATTCAGTTATGGTTAGGGTTAGCATTCATGAAACGCTTGATAAGGGACTGGGTAAAAATAGAATGTGACTTAATTCCTTTTAAAAATCTTGGAAATACTTTGACAATCATGATGATTGTGTGTATTCAAGCATGTGCTGTGAAACTGCTTAACACAGTGTGTGAGATGCAGCGTGCAGTCAGAGACTTTGCTGAACTGGAGGAACATGGTGTTTGTATGCACAGTTCAAACCTCCCCTTCCCCATTTGTTTGAGCAAGAAAGAATAGCAATGAGGCAAGCTAGTGATATGAACTGTGCTCCATGTGTGCGAGGAGATAGCGAAAGAGGGGAGAGAATACCATTCAGTCTGTGAGAGGGGAGACAGTGGTGTTAAAGGCACGGGTGGGAGAGGGAAGATAGAGGAATAAATCATGCTCCACTTGTGGTAGAGGAAATGGCAATAGGGAGAGAGACTAGTATCCACGACAACCCCGTGTGAGAGAATGAGGTCTGTAGGAAACTCATGTCTCTGTCAGTGGTGCGTTGGTGTCAAGGGGGCGAGTGGCAGGAGTCCTGTAGTGAAGAGGTGAGTGTGAATTCTGATTGCTTTAGCCATCCATATTGCCCAGTGAGGCATGTGAAAAATTTCTGAGAAGAACTTAATCTTTGTCTCCTTTCTGCACCTCATTCCATAAATACTGCCTTGTTCTCCTTGCTGTATACCGTATTGACTTCTAAAGGGCACAGAGAATGTTGGCTGATTCTCCTTCTAGGTTTACACACTTGAATATCAGTGTCTGTATTGCAAAGTACATGATTCTGTCTTACTCTTGCCTTGTGGCTGAAATGGAAAGGAGATATGAAGTGAGTGTACTGGGATTTCATGGCACTTTCCTGGTTCCAATGTACCTTTTAAATATAGGAAGTAATTTATTTTGGGGGGCGGTTGGAAGGAGATCTCCCTGAAACTGGAAAAGAGGAAAGGGAATAGGGGGAGAGAGAGTGCGCAAATGATCTGTGTGTCAAATTGAGCATTGCTGTGTTCAAACTGTAATCATCTTTTATCTCTTATTTCTCTGCTTTTGAGTTCTGAGGTAGTGTTGTCTTCCTTTTTTGTGGGTAGAAACTTTTTGTTTTGATTTTGTTCACATTACAACCTGAAACAGACCCACTTTATTTATGAACCATTATTCTCTTGGGTAGGTCAATCTCCTTTAGTTGGCTTTGGTTAATAAACCCCTTGTGTTGGATAGAGTGCCTCCTAGTGGCTGAATCAGTAGCATGCGCATGCCCTTTTCGACAGTCGGTGCTAGTTGGTAAGGGACACCATATCTTACATTGCAGTTTATTATCTCAGTAACCTGACCTTTTCCAGGGTTCAGTCCAAAAGCCTTGGTAACTCACAGCACTATAGTATTTATACTCATAGAGGCAATTTCTCAGACACACAGAACTGCGATTAAAATACTCATTGCTTCCTGATACCGAGGGCCGTCAAGGGTAATATTTTCAAAGGCACCTAAGTGACTTTTTAATAGGATTTGGCTCCTAAGTCACTTAGGGTAACATTTTCAAAGGCACCTAACTCGAGTGTAGAGTGTTGTCAGAGGCTTCTCTTCTGCCTGGGTGTCCTGGAAAGGTAGAAAATGAACACACATCTGGGATGACACTTCCTGTCTACTTGAAGAATAGAGTTGGTCACACTCTAATTCACAGCTCTTGTTGTGCAATCTTCAGTTGCTTAGTGCTAGCCATCCTGACTTGTGGCTTCTTCCAGAGATGAGAGAGCAGGAGAAAAAGGGAAGGATAGTTACTTAAAGCTTAGTTTAAAACTCAGGATACCCCTGACTGAAGTCTTCAAATTAGGAAGCTCTCGAGAGGGTGATAGAACAGGCCATAAAGAATCATTAAGAAGTGGGGTAATAGGGTAGTACAATTTTCACATACAAAACCTAATCTGAGCAATTCAAACACATGATTCAACAGCGTCAGAATTTGTGGGAAATATCAGGTGCAATCATTTTGATCTAGCCTTAACAAAGAATGTAGGTAAAAGCAATCATAGCCCTGTAGAAAAATGTGGCCGATAACAGCAAATGCCAGCTGTGTGTATAAAGCGCCTAGCTGACAGTTTACCTATAATTAGAGATTCTAAGGTAATTAATAGCCTTTTTGTATTCCGTCTGGCACTTTCTGAATCATCACTGTGCAACTTTAGCTAATAATCTTCTTTTGTTAGATATAAATATGTTTTTACATTCTTATGCCGACAATGCCAGCAGTCAGACAATTGGTAGCTTTATGGACTGGTTGCCTCCTACGTGAGTTTGAGCTCTCAATGAATGTTTTATGGAGTTACGGTAATCATGGTGATGCTATTATCCATACTTTTCCAGAGCGCACATTCCTGGTTACAGTTGTTATTACTCAGGCTCAAGTGGGTGTGTGTATGAGTGTACTTCCATGTTGTCTGCATGTACAGAACTGCTTTAGATCACAGCTTATGCAATTAAATATACAATTTAATAGAGACAGTAACAATATAGCGTGGTTATGGCTATAAGAACAATGGGCCAAAGTTTTAAAAAATGACTGGTGATTTGGGGTGCTTCAGTTTTGGGGTGTGAAACTGGAGACACCTTAAGAGGGCCTGATTTTCCCCCCCTAAAATGATGAACATTCAGTAAAAATCAGACCCCTCTATGCTGTCACAAATTGGACACTTAAAAAGGGAGGGATCTAGAATCACTAGCCATTTCAGGTAATCTTGACCCCTGAACTGTTTCTAGGTTGCATTGCCGTAGCTGAGTGGCTTTCTATTTTGTTTTGTTTTTTTAATTTGGCATTTTGTTTATTTATGTGTGTGTACTGTATAGGTAACTTTATATCATAAATATACTTGGATCTATATATTCTGTCTAGGTATAGATTTAGGTAATTGGACTAATGGTGCTTCATAAATAATACATCCTAATCACTATAAAAGGAACGGTCTTTTATTCTCTATTCAGAGAAATTTCTAATTAACACGTTACTGTTAAAGTGGTAGCAGGGATGTTGGAACAATTTGTATAGTGGGGTGCTGAGAGCCATTGAACCAAGCTGTAAACCCTGTATATGATGGGAACCACTGCAAGGCAGGGGGTGCTGCAGCACCCCCAGAACCCCTAGTTCCAGCACCTATGAGTGGTAGTGCTGCTCTCCACGAAGCTGCCGAGCCCATCGTGTTATTGGACAGGCCCCTGGAGTTTGATGGAAACGCTGCCCACAGCATGTGGGGCTGGCAGCAAGGACAGTTGTGAGACACCCAGATGTGTGGAGTCCTAGCAGGTGTACTAGGAGGAAGGAGCAAGTTGTACAGGAGAAAGCAGTGGTGCTCTGAAAGCTGACACGAGAGGAGAGCTCAAACCAGCATGAAAGGGAAGGAAACAAAGTTTGGGTACCAATAAATTACCAGAGATGTCTCTCATAAGCAACAATCATTAACAAATATTGGTCTTAATTTGAATCCCAGAGAATATCCCTATTTAAGCAGGTTCTCCAATTTGGTGGAGAATACTGTGTATGCATGCATTTGTTATGTATCTATGTGTACATTCTTCCCCCCCCCCCTCTGGTGACACCAGCAAAATCTTTACTTTTCAGATTGTTTTGATTGGATTGGAATAGCGTTGACCTTGAGTGGAGGCAAAATGGGGCAGAAGGACTTGAAATGTGGACATCGAAGGCTGCTTATTTAGTTGAGAATAGCGCATGTCAAAGGTCCAACTACTTGTTTTTAGGAGGATTTGAAACATTTCTGATTCAAACTGTTTTTCTGGGAGTAGGCTGTGGATTGGAACTTTCAGCCATTTAGGATTTAGTATCCAGAAAAGGGTTAAACTATTTGGGTTTTCCTAGCATCAGTCAATTTACGGAGGCTGAAGTTACACTGGTAACGCTCCAGTTAAGTCTGTATTTTTCCACATGGCTGAGCCTGGAAGGAGCTCATCCGGAGTTTCAGAAATGTAAACAATTGTAAAATTTGTGCCAAAGATGAAGGAGGGATTATTCTGATGTTTCTCTTACCTACTCTTTCCCCTTCCTTACAGCGTTGCTAATAATCACAAACAGAATCTAATGACTGTTGCTAATCTGGGTGTGGTATTTGGACCAACGCTGCTTCGACCACAAGAAGAAACTGTTGCAGCGATTATGGACATCAAGTTTCAGAATATTGTGGTTGAGATTTTAATAGAAAACCATGAAAAGGTAATGTTTTCCCCTTACTTCTGAATTTAAATAAGTTTATAATAAAGAATTTGTCTCCATGACAACCCCAACACAAATTCTTCAATAAAACACCTTCTCTAGATGATCAGTACACAGCATTGCAAGAGAGAAGATCACGTCTCTCAGCTAAAGGAAATTTGCTATTATCCAGAACTAATCCGGCTCATAGCTGCCCTTGGTACCTTGTATCCAGAAGGAGTGTGTTTGTACAGCACCTAGCACAATGGGACCCTGGTTCATGACTAGGGCTCCTATGAGCCTCAGTAATACAAATAATAAATAATAACACTGGCATTCTGTTCCCTTTTTAGATGCTGAAGCATATTATTTCAAACTGAAATTTCCCATGAGGGAATCGTACTTTCAGTTAAATACTAGGGTGAAATCCTGGCCACATTGAAGTCAGTGGTAAAACTACCTTGGTTGTCAATGGATATGTCTACACAAAGAAAAAACCCACAGCTGGCCTGTGCCAGCCAACTTGGGCTCACAGGGCTCAGACTGCAGGGCTGGTTCATTGCTGTGTAGACGTCTGGGCTTGGGCTGGAGCCCAAGCTCTGGGCCTCTCCCACCCCGCAGGGTCCTAGAGCACGGTCTCCTGCCCAAGCCCGGACGTCTACACAGCCAATGAAACAGCTCCACGGTCCCAAGTCAGCTGGCACAGGCCAGCTGTGGATTTATTTATTTATTTATGTTTTGCTGTGTAGACATACCAAATGGGACTATGATTTTTTGGGGGTAGAAATAACAGCCGGGAGGAAACATAGGAAATGGAATAGTATCTCCAAATTGAGCTTTAGTTGGTCTGAAATCACATAATCAACAATTCTAGTAACTTATTTTTCTGGTTATCTTGGCTTGAGCCCATTTCATAGTCCCTTTTTAAAAGTCCCCTTGTGTTATCTTTTAAGTTGGGCAAAGAATTTTGCTAGTTTTGAGAGGTCAAGTGATTAGGACATTAGTCTGGTAGTTGGGAGCCCTTGTGTTCAATTCCCTGCTCTGCTCAGACTTCCTGTGTGACATAGGCAAGTCACTTTGCCTCTCTGCGGCTCTCAGTTCCCTATCTGTAAAATGGGAATAATAGCTCTTCCCTACTTCACAGGGATGTTCTGTGGATAAATACATCAAAAGACTGTGAAATGGCTGTCACATAAAGGAGGCTTAAAACTGCCAACAGCAGTTCTAAAACAAGTAAATTTTCAAAAGCATTTAACAAGTGATTCTCTGGGGGTTTTTTTGTTTTTGTTAGTTTTGGTTTGGGAAGTGCTGCTTAGTCTGCTGGACTAATGGAATGAAGAAAAGAGACCAAACTTTCCTGTGCTCTCCCCCAAGCTTTGGTCTGTGGCATATGCCATTTTAGCATGCTTTGACCTTGGCCAGATTGCTTGTAATGTACTTTGAAAACAAAGCATAGAGCTCTTAGTAGGATTATATGGGTAATTAAAGGAAATCACTGGAAATGGGGTGTCTTCAGACTAAATGGCTAAACTAGTGGGCTAGTCAGAATATCACCATTCCATTAAGTATCAGTTGACTGTCCGATCATGTGAGAGGCTCAGTACCTTCAACTCTCATTGAAGAAATTCCTAGCTCCCAATTCAGTGTTCTGCACACAAAATCTGTGTCTTTCAGATAAGTGTCTGTACTGCTTAGCGAGAGGGCCACCACCAATAGCAGGCTCAGAACATAGATTTACCATTGAGTATTCAACCTGTTTAGTTTAAATTAAACAGATGGCTCTATCACCACGGATGTTTCTAGGCAGACGCTGCTACATGCTAATTTAGTATGACGCGACTCTGTTTAGAAAGACGTCACAGTTTATTCTTTCTCCAAAGCTCTAGCAGAAGTGCACGCACGCATCTGACACACCAGCCATTCACAACATCTTACTAAGACAGAGGACCTTCACCTATCTCTCTAAACAGATGCAGGAAGCCAAGGGAGATTGTTAGTGATGTTCCATTAAGTGTGGAAACAATGTGGTGAGAAGGGAACGGGGAAAGCAGTGCAACTCTGATTATACTCAGAGAAAATGCTGTCACGTGGCATGTAAACACCTTTGCATTTATCAGCTCAGGGGAGCTATTTTATTTTCCTTTCCTTTCCTTTTTACTTGGAACTGAATAGAAATAATTGCTCAATTATGAAATCGCCTGACCTGAGGAGCGAGCAGTGTGAATACCAGGTAAATAACCCTACAGGCCTCTGTATCGCTCAGTAGCATCCGCCACTGGCACACAGTGCAAGGTTCAGCAGTACTTAGCAGCACAAGCCCAGCGAATCTTATTGTATTTCACACAGTCGCCTCTAATTTTTTTTAATATTACTAATAAGTCAAAAACGGTGTCATATTTAGAGCCATTCCCTGCCCCCTTGCAGGGAAGAGCTTTGACGTCTGCGTCACAAGCAGCGGGGGTGATGTTATGAAGCCTTTTTTCCTGCCCTTTCTTGGTCACAATTTATTAAACCCTCCCATGAATCCCTTAATGAAATTGACTGATTCTGTCTGAATAAAGTCTCTCACTATGTGAGCTGAATGCTCCATCGGCTGGCACTCTTTAAGGAATCGACGACAGATTTCAGATGACTGATTGCATCCTTCTAGACTAGAGTTCTAATCTCTGGTTGTCTGTTAGGCATCCTTTTGTCTCCTAATATTCAGGGATGGTGAAATTAGCAGATTCCCATCACCTATTTAAAAACAATTTGTGGCAACAACACGCCTGTCTGAGAAGTGCGTCAGTTATGTCCATCCAGCAGCAACTAATTCTGCTGATGCTTGCCGTCTGTCATGTGGCAAAAAGGATGGTGTTGCTCATAGATCAGCCTGGTCCAATTCACAGTGAGAGGACAACATTTACAGACTATCCTCCGTATTTGTGGAGCACCCATCACCGTTTAATGGCTAATGGACTTTCCTGTCCATTCTTTTGCCTTTCCCCCAACAAAAAGAAAAATCCCTCATTATCTCAGTCAGAATTCTTGTATTTCCCCTCAGTGGTCCCTCAAAGGCACCCATTCTCAGGCGTCCAGCTCCCCAGCCATTGCCTTTCTTGGGTGGAAACCTGCACCTCTCTCCCTTCTGACAATCTCAACCAATGAAGAGCTCAGCCTTGCTTTCTCTTGCTGCTGCTCTTTTACTCTTTTGGGGGGAAGGAGGACTGAGAAGGCATTTTCTTACTGTTGCTGTGTCACCTCCTCCGCTCCCTCTCCTGCACACTTTTAGGATGTGATGGTAACTGGTAACCACATTGAAAGCTATATGAAGGGGTCAGTTCCTCAAGTGGGTGAGAAAGAGGAAAGGGAAGGCAATATCTAAGAATAGTCCTAACTGTCTCTTTGCACGAAACGTTGGCAGATCATGAAGCCGAGCCCAATAGGCGGATAATTTATTTGCTCTGCTTTTTAAACCCAGGTTTAATAGGCTGGATAACTCCACTGGGCCCTAAATGTTCAGTAACAATTTGAAGCCTCATGCAGCACATCTTTCAGCTGTCAAACTATTTCCATTTGTAGGCTTTAGAATCATAATGTGCAGTGTTGGGGGTTTTTTTGGGGGGGGAAAGGGTTGTCTGGCAGGTTTGCATTTCATTAGTACTATTGATCTTTCCCAATGTAATTAGTGACAACTGATCTCTAAAGCTGTCAATGGAAATGCTTGTTTGGGAGGATTTCGAAGTGTTAAGCCTCGAACTGACACTCTTTGAAAAATGATTCGCATTTGTGCCACTAATGCAAGGAAGTTGCATACTACATGACTATGGGTCAGTGTCACCATTTAGCATGGATTCACTGTGAATTATCCTCTAGGGGAGGAAAATAGTAGTACTGGGGGAGAAACTTTTTAAAACTTAGTATCCTTGTCATGTTGTTTGCGTCTTTAAAGTTGTCACCTTACAGTATATTTCCTAATAATAATTGATGAGAGCTTATAAAAGCCTTCCCAAGAGAGATACGTAGGTGACTAGCACTATACAAGTACATTGCATGTTTACTGCAGTTGCTTTACATTGATTTACACTGGGGACTCACATGTGGAGTGATTTAAATCACCAAGTGAAAAGCCTCAATTTAAATCAGGGGTGCCCAACCTACAGACTTGGGCCATATACAGCCCACCAGAGCATTTCATAAGGCCCTCGGCCTGCTTAAACACAGTATACTAATGGTCAATCCATTAGCATTTTGTCGTCACGTTTACATCATTTTAGTTTACACACGTGTGTAAATAGACAATACTGTACACAGAAACAACCTACCCCAATACATACAAAACAAGCTGAACTTACAATATAAATCAATACAGGTGACTTTAAACCTTATTAAAATATGTAACATCTGTTTGGCCCACACAAGGTTGTGCTGAGGTTTATGCGGCCCTCCTGTGTAATAAGGTTGGGCACCACTGATTTAAATCATCAATTTTAGTCCACTTTTCCATTTGTACTTCTGTTATTTTCTAAAGAAAGGTGAATTTTCATTGGTTGATATAACCATTAAAACATATTGATTTACAACTACAGTGGTTCTCAACCTGTGGCCCGCTGGCTGCTTGTAGCCCAGTCAGCACATATCAACAGCCCATGTGACATCCTCATGGCCATACAGGTAGTATATATATTGTGTGGATATGGCCCACATAACACATAGAGAGCTGCATATGCAGCCCACAATGGTAAATAGGTTGAGAACCACTGAACTAGAGTCTTTACAGAGACAAGGTGGGTGAGGTGATATCTTTTATTGGACCAACTTCTGTTGGTGAGAGAGACAGCGGGTCCAATAAAATATATTACCTCACCCACCTTGTCTCTGCAATATCCGGGGAGTGACATTACTGCAACTACACTGCATAGATTTGGTACATTTTTTTTTGCTTCCTAGGCGGGTATACTGTAATATTTACATTTATTTAAGACAGGATATATCTTAATATTTTCAGATTCTTATTAATTATACATTATATGTTAGGAAAT